AACGGACTTGGCCCAGATCCGTCAGAGGAATCCCTTACAAAATGTGTGGCTTAAATAATAACGAGGCTTCAAAGTCAAAATGACTCCTTGACCCCTGGGCTGCACACCGGCCACGAGAACAACGTGCTTCTCGTATATCTTCACCAGAGCTCGTCGGTGACCAGGCGCATTTTCAACGAGCAGTACTATTTTGAACGGAATCTTTTCTTTCGGAGCAGTAGGTCTCCCCGGTGGGCTTCAGACATTCAGCAAACCACCTTGTAAACACACGTGCCGCCATCCAGTCTTGGTCATTCCTGTTAAAGAGCACAGGCACAGTGGATTTCGCAGAATTCTGAAGGCCCTGCCCTGGGGTTTCTGGAACGGCCCGTGAGCACCGGCTTCAGCTTAAAGTCACTGGCTATATTCGCCTCTAATAATTAGAGTCGGCCTGTCCTTTGCAGCTTTGAAGCCGGGCACTGACTTCTCGTCTCCGGCCGCGAAAGTCCCACATGGCATCTTCTTCCGACAGAAGGCTGTCTCAGAGTCCACGCTGCAGATCTGTTGTTTGGTGTAGCCTCTGCATTCCTGATCTTAGTTGGATCTTCTGGATGGCCTCGCGAACCGACCTCTGCTAGCTTCCAACTTTCCTGCCACAGCCTCCTCACCTCTCTCGGCCTCCCCACAACTGCAGAGAGTTAAGGCCTTGCTCTGGATCGGGCTTTGGCTTAAGGGACTATCGTGGCTGCTTCGAGCTTCTGTCCAGACCACTAACACTTTCTCCACATCAGCAACAGGCCGTATTGCTTACTTCCCATTCGTGTGTTCACTGGAGTAGCACTTTTAATTTCCTTCAAGAACCTTTTCTTTGCATTCACAATGAGGCTAACTGTCTGCTGCAAGACGCCTAGCTTTCAGCCTGTCTCGGCTTAAGACGCGCCTCCCTCGCTGAGCTTAATCATTTCTACCTTTTGATTGAAGGGGACAGACACGTGATTCTTCGTTTCATTTGAACAGTTACGGGCCACTGTAGGGTTATTAATTGGTCGAATTTCAATATTGTAGTGTCTCAGGGAATAGGGGGGCCTAAGAAGAGGGAGACTGGGGAACATTTGGTTGGTGGAGCAGTCAGAACACAAACAACACTTATCAATTAAGTTTACCATCTTCTATGGACACGGTTCAGGATGTACAAAACAATCAGAATAGCAATATCAGAGATCACTTATCACAGATCCCTGTAACAAACATAATAATAATGGAAAAGTTTGAAATATTGCAAGAATTATCAAAATGTGACACAGACATGCAGTGACGAAATGCTGCTTGAAAATAGCGTTGACAGACTTACTCAACACAGGGATGCCACAAACCTCCCATTTGTGGGGTGCCTGGGTGGCTCAATCGGTTAAATGTCCTACTTCAGCTCAGGTCATGATCTCACAGCTCATGAGTTCGAGCCCTGCATCCGGCTCTGTGCTGACTGACAGCTCAGAGCCTGGAGCCTGTTTCAGATTCTGTGTCTCCCTCTCTCTCTCTGCCCTTACCCCACTCACACTCTTTCTCTCAAAAATAAACACTGAAAAAAAAATTAATAAAAAAACGCTCCAGTTTGTAAAAACACAGCATCTACAAAGTGCAACAATGGCAAAATATGACAAAATGAGATATACCCCTATATAAAAGCTTTACCTTGGATTAAATAAAGTATGCCAAATTATTTTGTTTGTTTGTTTGTTTTTTGTTTTGTTTTGTTAAACTCACCTTGCATTTATTGCCTTTTTTTCGTTTCTCTGAAAGTTTTTTTTATATTAAATGTAATTTATTGTCAAATTGGTTTCCATACAACACCCAGTGGTCATCCCAACAAGTGCCCTCCTCAATGCCCATCACCCACTTTCCCCTCTCCCCCACCCCCCATCAACCCTCAGTTTGTTCTCGGTCCTTAAGAGTCTCTTATGGTTTGCCTCCCTCCCTCTCTGTTACTTTTTTTTTTCCCCTTCCTCTCCCCCATGGTCTTCTGTTAAGTTTCTCAGGATCCACCTATGAGTGAAAACATATGGTCTCTTTCTCTGCCTGACTTATTTCACTTAGCATCATACCCTCCAGTTCCATCCGCATTGCTGCAAATGGCAGGATTTCATTCTATTTCATTGCCAAGTAGTATTCCATTGTATACATAAACCACATCTTCTTTACGCATTCATCAGTTGATGGACGTTTAGGTTCTTTCCATGATTTGGCTATCGTTGAAAGCTCTGCTATAAACATTGGGGTACACGTGCCCCTATGCATCAGCACTCCTGTATCCCGTGGGTAAATTCCTAGCAGTACTATTGCCGGGTCATAGGGTAGATCTATTTTTAATTTTTTGAGGAACCTCCACACTGTTTTCCAGAGTGGCGGCACCAGTTTGCTTTCCCACCAACAGTAAACTGTGCCAAATTCTAAATCAGGCAACATTGCCTACAATTTTTATCCTAGGAGCATACCTTTTTGAAATAAAACTCAATAAATTCAAGGATCTTTTTCTCTAAAAGAGTTTGGAAGTAAGGTTTCTGACTTCCTGTTTCTTATGTATTCATAGGACAGAACTGAAGTATATGTATTTTTTTCTGATTGAAGTCTACTTGTAAGTTCTTGAAGAATTACATTTCAGGGAATTTTATCTGAGCCTCTTTTAGGACAACAGTAACTTTGTACCACTTGATAATATATTACTTTCATCCTTGCTATCTCCCCCACTAGATTCTTGGGAGGGCAGGCTCCAGGTCTCAGGCTCACGGCGCCATACCCCTTGCTCCCCATGATGGCCCTAGGATCAGGGGATCTGAATCGCTTCCCAAGTAGCTTGTTGCCTCTCTCAGGTCTCTCAACATCTCTGGGCTTCAAGTTCGTCATCTCTAAACTGAGAGGGATGACGTATAGATCCATATTCAGTGCTAAAAATTTCATTATACTAAGTCAACTCTTACCTCTGTGGCCATCGATGGCCCCTTCTACCCCTTCAGTGGTATACCTCAACCCTGGGAACAAAGGAAGGCTTCGCCACTGCTGTTACTTTGAAGCCGTGCTAACTCCCGTAAGAGAAATACACCAGGAAAGACAAAGTAAAATCACGGTGAGATACTGAAGTACTGAGGAAATTTACAGTTAAAGCAGAAAGCCTTTCAATCAATCCAATCTATATTTATGGTTTCCGAACATGTAAAACAATAATGTGTGCCAATATAATATGTCTTTAAAGGATTTTAAGGAGAGTTATGTGTTTGCTGGTTAACTAATGCTGCAATCACACACAAGTTTAATCATTACTTAAGCATTATAATAACATTACTAAATTCAGTACGACACTAGTCCCGCACCCTCACTCTCCGATTTTACTCTGTGAAATCTGTCATCTCTACGTCCCTCCACTTCTATTGCTGTCATCTCAAAACAGATTTTTTAAATATAAGTAAACTCTTAAAGGTATAACGGATTCTTGAATGTGGGCACATGCTTCTTAGAATTAGCACTTTGCCTCATAAACTAAGGAAATGTTGCCTATATAAAGATACCTTTAAATAATATTACTGCGAAAGTAGCAAGATGGCACACAAAACTACTCCAAAATGTCTCCGGTAGGCTAAGTCTGCAGTTTTGAGCTCTGAGATGTAATTAAACCTTAATATTAACTAGCAAGAATTCAGAAATAGCAACACTAAGTCAAACTTCTGCTTCGGAAAGATGAAGTAGAAGTGATTTGCCCTATTCCTCCTAGAGAGTACAGCTAAAAACCAGTGACATGGCATATAAAACAAATACAAGAAAGCTCAGAAAGGTGGAGAGAAGACACAGACTGGCTTTGGAACTCAGGATCCAAGGAACGACACCGTGGTGAGTTCCCTGGATTTTCTACTAACCTCATCTATTCCAGATGTGAAGCTGAAGAAGCTGGAAACTTCTAAGAAGCATGTGCCCACATTCAAGAGCCCTAAGAAAAGCCTGTTTACCCAGCCAACGGATCAGGAAAGGGGCAGCTTAGCAGGAGAGAACACTTTTATTTATTTAGTTTTTAGTTTAATTATTTTGAGAGAGAGAGAGAGAGAGGGCGCAAGCAGGGGAGGAACAGAGAGAGAGGGAGAGAGACTCCCAAGCAGGCTCTGTGCTGTCAGCCCAGAGCCCAATATGGTGCTTGATCTCAAGAACCGTTAGACCATGACCCGAACCCAAATCAAGAGTTGGCCACTAAACCAACTGAGCCACACAGGCGCCCCTGGACAGAACACTTTTAGACAGCAACTGCTCTACTCTAGCCAAACACCACAGAAAAAATGTAACTGTACCCACATCACCAAAGGCTTTGGGGGCAGCCTAAGCTTCCACCCTCACAAGGCTGTAATGAGGCACACTTCCCCCATGCTGGGGTGGTGTCAGAGACGGCTGACTGGAGAGACAGAACTTACAGCACCGCCCAGTGGTAATGTGGCTATCTCCGGGGGGGGGGGGGGGGGGGCACTTGGCATCAGCAGTCCTTACCCTTCTGAGTCAGGGAGGTATCACTGGAGGCCTAATGGGGAACCAGTACTCCCACCCTCACCCATCAGTAATGAAGAACTGACCCCTCAAGCATCAACAGAGGTGAACTGGGGAATCTAGACATCTAGACCTACTCGGCAGTACTGAGGCACCATTGTCCCCACCTCTGACAGAGTGGTGCCAGAAGCAGCTGATTAAAACAGGAAGTTTCAATAAAACCCCAAATCTAATGACATGCTTAAGATGTCCAAGTCTACATAAAAAAAATAAATAAATCATTTGTCATACCAACAGTCCAAAGGATCTCAAACTGAGTAACAAAATATATGTCGATATCAAGATGACAGAGATGTTAATGTTATGTGACAAAGATGTTAAAACGAGCATCATAAATGCTTGAACAAGCAATTATGAACATCCTTGAAACAAATGAAAACATAGTCTCAGCAAAGAAACAAAGTCTCAGTAAAGAACTAGAAGATAAGAAGCAGCACCAAATGGAACTTTTAAACATGAAAAATATAAGTGAAATAAAATACTCAGCAGAAAGGCTCAACAGCAGAATGAATGGGGCAGAAGAGAATAATCAGTGGACTCAAAGACAGAATATAATTAATTACCCAACCTACACAAAAGGGAGAGAAAAAAATAAAACATCAGGACTTAGGGGACTATAAGAAAAGATTTAACGTTCACATCATCAGAGTCCAAGAAGGAGAGAAAAATAGGGTGCAGCTGAAAACATACTCAAAGGAATAATGGCTGAAAACTCTCCAAATTTGGCAAAAGAAATAAGCTTACAGATTCACGAGGCTGTGTGAACCCCAAATTGGGTAAACCTGAAGAAACCTAATATACATTACAGTCATACTTTGACAAAGAAAAACATCCTTAAATAAGAGAGAGACAGAGAAATGCCACCTCACCTATAGGGGAAAGCGAGTCCCATGACAAATTTTTTCAGCAGTAAATCACGGAGGCCATAAGGAAGGGCACACGAGATTTTTCGAATGTGGAAAGGAAGCAACCGTCAGCCCAGAATCTGATATCCAGCAAAAATATCCTTCAGGAATGAAGGGGAAATCAATGTATTCTCAGAGGAAGGAAAACTAAGAATTTGTTGCCTGAAGACCTACTCTAAAACAAAGGCTAAACGAAGTTCCCTAAACTGAAAGGAAATGATAAAATAAGAAATCTTGTAGTATCAGGAAGAAAGAATGAACGCAGTAAGAAAAATACGGGTAAATGCAATAGACTTTCCTTCCTTCCTTATCCTCTTGAGTTGTCTAAATTGTGTTCGTGGTGATGGAATAATTCTATACCTTGATGTAGAGGTGGTTCCATGATATAGAATGTGATACAATGGTATAAAATTACAAAACACATTGTACCGATGTCAATTTCTAGGCCTTGATAAAATACTATGGTTACCTCAGGGAAGACAAGGAGGAGGGCACATGACTTCTTTCTGCACTGTCTTTGCGAGTGACTGTGAATCAGTAATTATTTCAAAACAAAGTTTTTTAGAAGTCTAATTATAACTAGGTTATTTCCTAAGTAATACTGAGGCAATTTAAAACATATCCTATCAATAAGAGTTACAGGCAAAGTCATTGAAAGCTGGTGGTTAATCTTTGGTCAGTTTCTTTAGTTATTGTCCAAGCAGTTGACAACAATAACAAGTGATTTACCTGATAAAAATATCCCCTATTCTTTGATAACTGTTAAACTGCTGATGTTGTCACTTACCGCATTCTTTTGATATTTTTTCTTCTGTGGATGTTTGCTTAAAATAGCTGGAACAAAATTGAAACTAACAGTCAATGTTCCTTTGAAAATCAAATTATACTATTTATATAAAATAATAATAGCTAGCATTCACTGAATCTTACAATATTCTAGGTACTGTGCTAAACGCTTGCATGCATTATTTTATTTAATTCCTATCAAATTCCTTGTTTTCTCCATTTGAGATGAGGCAACCATGACTCAACGAAATTAAGTAACTGACTTATTAACACACAAGTAGCAAGTGGCAGACTAATTTGTAGTCAGGCTTAGAGCTGATACTCTTAACCACTACTGTACTATATAAACTTTAAGTTTGTTTTGTTTCGTTTCATTTATTTTGAGGGAGAGTGTGCACACGTGAGCAGGGGAGGGGCAGAGAGAGAGGAAGAGAGAGAATCCCAAGCAGGCTCCCCGAGCTGTCAGCGCAGAGCCCGACATGGGGCTCCATGCCACATATTGTGGGATCATGACCTGAGCCGAGATCAAGAGTTGGACACCAACCAACTGAATCACCCAGGCACCCCCAGTATATAAACTCTTAAATCCACAATGGTTAAGTACTATTTTATGTGATAGATAGACAGCATGTGTGTTGATGTCTATCGAATGATTCCTATTAAATAATACAGTGCAAATTATTTTAAATATTCCAGTTAGGATTTCAATCACATTGGAAACTAGAACAAATAAATGTTTCTCAATATATTATAAGTAGGAGATCATGAAAACTGGTTTTATGCTTTAAAGGCACATTCAATAGCACGACCTTCCTACGATGACAATAAGTTTTATAATAATGTATGACGCTGAAACTGGTTGTTAGGATTTTCATGTTTTTATAAAGGCATAAGAAGTTTATGATGGGCTAAATTTACCAGATTTTCTAACAGAGTGGCGGGTAGGGTAGGGAATCACAGAAAAAATGCAGTTTTTCATTGGTTAAAATGTTTTTAATTTTCAAAAGCCAACACAGTTAACTTTAAATCATGTTGACGTACAATAATATCATAGAATAGATACTGACATCTTTAATTGTATAATATCTGAAACAAGTATTGTGGGGGTAAGCTTCCTAAAAATGTTTCACAGATATGCTAGGCTCAAATAAATACAACTTAAATGAACCTTCATTTTACTGGGTATTTCCCTGTAATTCTTAGAAAAAAGGTAAATAATACAAACTATTCTCGGGGTGCCTGGGTGGCTCAGTGAGTTAAACGCCTGACTTCGGCTCAGGTCATGATCTCACGGTTCCTGAGTTCGAGCCCCGCGTCGGGCTCTGTGCTGACAGCTCAGAGCCTAGAGCCTGTTTTGGATTCTGTGTCTCCCCTTCTCTCTGCCCCTCCCCCACTCTCACTCTGTCTGTCTGTCTCTCTCTCTCTCTCTCAGAAGTAAATAAACATTTTGGGGCGCCTGGGTGGCGCAGTCGGTTGAGCGTCTGACTTCAGCCAGGTCACGATCACGCGGTCTGTGAGTTCGAGCCCCGCGTCGGGCTCTGGGCTGACCGCTCAGAGCCTGGAGCCTGTTTCCGATTCTGTGTCTCCCTCTCTCTCTCTACCCCTCCCCCGTTCATGCTCTGTCTCTCTCTGTCCTAAAAATAAATAAACGTTGAAAAAAAAAAATTAAAAAAACAAAAAACAAAAAACAAAAAACAGAAGTAAATTAACATTTAAAAAAATTTTTAAATAATAATAATAATACAGACTATTCTCATATGGGACCTTAAATGATTAAGTATTCAATATATGTTTCTGAGGTTATAAACTTAGACATGTTCAAAAGCCTAAGGGAAGCCCATGCACAGGTCCCTTCAAATGCACACATTTATTGCCCTTAAAGAAACACACTCATCCCTAGCCATACAAATGCTCTTCATTTTCAGATCAAGTTTAATTTAGTGCATATCTCTGGTTACTGTTCTCTCCTTGCTTCTGTTTTGTGCCAAAATACGATACTCCATTTTAGCCTTCCAAAGAAAACTTTTGTAAACAAAATGGCTTCCAAATGCATTGAGAGGGTCCATGCCACTTCCTGTTCACTGACTGCACTGGCAAAACCGCTACCGTGTTCTCAGTTACTGCCGGAATTTGTACAGTTTATTGGCATAACGTGAGAGTTTACACAATTACCTACAGTATGGCAGGACTAATATGTGGCACGTTACCGATGTTACAAGCTTGCTGCTCGGGCTTACATTCTCCATTAAGAAAAATGGTGACATGTTAACTCTCATGGGAATGCATTTAGCATTTATTCAGTTCGTATTTTTTAGTTGGCCTATTAGACAATGTGCCAGTTTCATGACCCATTTAGCCTTCAACTTGGTCCGCCTATCAGTCAAAGAAAACACGCAAAACTCGTTGTCATTGTATCACTCACCTAACTTAAGAAGAAGTGCCAGCGGTTTCCCTCTGCAGCATGGTACTCAAGTACCTCCACTTTCTGGTCTATTCCTCTCCTTTCTCTCTTACCACTAAATACCATTCAACTGAACAGATCGCAGCAGTCACCTGTACATCCCCAAATGCACACTTTTATTCATACATTCCCTACACCTGGAATATCCTCTCATATCCAAATCCTTCCCGGCCGTCAAGGCTCACCTCCAAAACTAAGTTTGCGGTTGGGGCACCTGGGTGACTCAATCGGTTTGGCATCTGACACCTGACTTCGGCTCAGGTCATGATTTCACAGTACGCGGGTTCGAGCCCCGCATCGGGCTCTGTGCTGACAGTGCAGAGCCTGCTTGGGATTCTCTCTCTTCCTCTCTCGCTGCCCGCCCCCCCCCCCCCGAAATAAATAAATAAAAACTTCAAAAAAAAGAACAACTGAGTTTCTGGTTGAACCTACCTTGACTAGTCTGGTCTCTTCTACTCCTTGAGCACTTTTTTCTCAATCATCTTTTTCATCTCTGTACATACATACCATCTGTCCAACGGCACTGCAAGCTCGTTGAACACAGAGGCCCTTGACACGTTAACTTCTTCCTCTCCGTGATATCTTACACCTTTTTTATTTTTTTTTTATTTATTTATTTATTTTTTTTTCAACGTTTATTTTATTTTTGGGACAGAGAGAGACAGAGCATGAACGGGGGAGGGGCAGAGAGAGAGGGAGACACAGAATCGGAAACAGGCTCCAGGCTCCGAGCCATCAGCCCAGAGCCCGACGCGGGGCTCGAACTCACGGACCGCGAGATCGTGACCTGGCTGAAGTCGGACGCTTAACCGACTGCGCCACCCAGGCGCCCCAGTTACACCTTTTTTAAATCAGAAGGGTTGGATTAAATGATACGTAAGTCTCTTCCCTGCTCCAAAATTTTACACATCTATTTCTTACATCTCCTATCACGTGCATATTTTAGTCATCTGATAAATATTTCAAACTATCTGATTTTACCCGTGCCTCTTATAAACTTACCCAGCCCTGGCCACTGAGAAAGAGTCTAAGTATGGCAATTTCCAAATGGCAAAGGAACTGGCGACTTGATCAAACGGCCATAATTAGTGAGCTAAATATCCATTCACTCGCTTTCTCACTTGACAAACATCAGTTAAACATCAGGGTCGGGTATCGCACCAGACAACACAGAGGTGACTGGCCTGGCCCTTGCCCTCAAGGAACTCCCAATCCAGTGGGGGACACAGAGAGGGAAAAGCACTCATTGTAAGAAAGATTGCTGAAGAGAAGCACACGCGACACGGTACCAATGTATGAAAGAAACACCCAGCAGCTGCTGTGAAGCAGAGGAGGCTCAAGGAAATGTTCCCAGGACGGGGGACAACGAAACCCCTGAAGGGCAAGAGGCAGCCACCATATCAGGAAAAGCAGCAAGTACCAGAGTGTGAGCATAAGAGAACGTGGAAAGTTTGCAGAAGTGCAATGGAGAAGGCGGCTTCAGGAGGTGTGAGAGAGGAACCAGAGGGACAGGCAGGAGCCCAGATCATGATGGGCCTGTCTGGAACGCTGACAAGTTTGGAGTCTAATCCTGAAGCAACTAGGTACTCAATATTAGGAAAATAATACCTGCAGATAAGTCCTAAAACCTGACATCAGAAACAGTGTGCAGCAGGGACTGTGCTTGTCCCCCAATATCTAGTCTTCGCTTCCAATGAAGTAATAATAATTTTACTGGGGCACACGGCCGCAGAGTTAAGGGCCACGTTTTCCAGCCTCCCTTATAGCAGCCGTCGCCAATGACAGAGGTCTGGCCAGTGAGACGTGTGCACAACTGATGCTCACAACTGTTCCGTTATATCCTGAAACGGAAGGAGTGTCCCATCGCCTGGGCTTCTGCCATCTCTTCGGTTACAACAAGAATGGGATAGTGAGTCAGAGAAAGCTAAAATCGCAAGACGAAGATGCTTTCTGAGGACCACACAACAAGACAGAAGGAGCCTGGGCACCTAATAATCAAGAAGCTGTCACCCACCCTTGAACTGCTAAGATGTGAGAAAGAACACTTGTTCAAGGCATTCTATTTGGGGGCCCCTGTCACAGCAGAGTAACCTCTCCCTCCATGAATATACGGTGGAATTTAAAACTGGATCTGAAGGACTCGAGAGCTGCTCCCACTCACCAATAAAACCAGACGGTAAAAAAGGAGCCCTAAAACCAAATACGTAATAAACAACCAAACAAGTGAGTATGTATAGGTTATCAGAATGTCATCACGTTAACCCAAGGCTACGTAGTAAACATGAATAGAAGGCCAAACATGGATTATGAACACAAATGACTTGCATGATGTGGTCAGGATAGGATAGCAATGGGCTCATGTTCGTTTACGGTCCTAAAATTATTATTCCATTATTCAGAATCAGTTTTTTAAATGGACACAAAAATTTTCATTAACAAAGATAACACAGGAAAGGAAGGAACGAGATCTGCACCTGAATTTACCAATACCCATGCCCCCCAAACTAAGGAAACCGATCTCTAAGGTTCTCAAACTAGGTAAGTAAAAGTGAATAAGTATAAATAGGTCTTCAGGAATCTCGGGCTGTCCTCCATGTGCCATTCCTAACACGGCAAGCTATCCACAGGGGCCCAAGAGGCCTTTTGGAGATACCCCACTAAGGCCAAGCCCTCACTGCTGACTGCCAGTATCCCACGCTGCCTTCTAGGCTTGATATCCACCCCTCTCCATCTCCACCATATTGAAAATTACTCTCATGGGGCGCCTGGGTGGCTCAGTCGGTTAAGCGTCCGACTTCGGCTCAGGTCACGATCTCGCGATCTGTGAGTTCGAGCCCCACGTCAGGCCCTGTGCTGACAGCTAGGAGCCTGGAGCCTGTTTCAGATTCTGTGTCTCCCTCTCTCTGACCCTCCCCTGTTCATGCTCTGTCTCTCTCTGTCTCAAAAATCAATAAACGTTAAAAAAAAAAAAAGAAAAAGAAAATTACTCTCATGGCCAGGCACTTAGTATCTTTCAATAATTACATAACAAGGAAACTATTCCATGTTAATGAGGAAAGTATAGAGAAGACTTTAATGAGGAAAGTATAGAGAAGACAGCACCAAGGCTTTCTGTAAACCCATTTTAATCTGCTACAGCAACAGTACGTAACCTTCATTTGGATGGATTTTTTAAAAGGGGTTCTGTTAACTAAAACCCCAAACCCAAACCTGCCAACAAAAATCTTAAGAAGCCACAGGTCTAACCAAATAGTGGGAATGTCAGACAAATTCTACGACTTCAGTACCCATGGAAGTAACATTTTTAAAACAGGCAGGGCCACGAGGTGCCTGTCACATCACATCATGTCACGGAAATTACCTATTCCTATACAAGTCCCTTGGCAGCCTGCTTTTCCACTAAGCGTGCTTCTCTTCTCCAGTTGAAAATTAAATGATGATGGTCACAACTGTGATCGGATCATCTCCACTGAGTTACTGGGAAGGGATACAGGGAACAACCGAGAAAGTACTTTGGGCACACAGGAATTAAACAAGGGTTTAAAACTTAAGGGCAGCACTTCAGCTTGATGGAGCTAGAGACCAATTTTCCCTTTCCTCCTTCGAGTTATGACTCCAAATACAGAGTGCCAAGAGAGACTCACTCGGCCTTATAAGGCCGTTCCACAGCATTTTAGAAGAACAAAGAAAATGAACAGGATGCAGTGACTGCCTCGAGGACCAGAAGTAGGATTCTGCCTTGTTCACCACGGCATTCCCCAGTGCACGGGTCAGAAGGTGCCCACTGATTTGTCTTGAATGAATTTATATGAAATCACTCATTTCCTCTCAGCAGAGAGTGCTGCCCTATAGAGGAAGGCTAATTAAAGCCAAGGAGTCTCCCTTATATGCAGAGAAAGCAGATTCATCTTTACAGCAGGTAGACAGACCTAACCCACATGCAGAGTCACTTAGAGCCATTCTAAGCTATTAAGGAGTCTACACCATGTCTGGCACTAAATTAAGCAGAAAATCAAACGACTGTGAAGTTTATGAGTATATCGTAATGGGTTCATTTTTTAAAATCATTGAATGCTATCTCAAAAGTCATAGAACAGTGAATATTCACATTACTCTAAATCCTCTTTTCTAAATGGGGGATACTTTCTCGTTCACAATGGCTCTCTTAAACCAGACCAGTTTGGCTTGCCTTAAATCAGCAGATTTCTGACTCCTTTCCATGTAGCCCACTACCATAATGGCTTAATAAAATTAGCAATGGAAAAAGGCAGCATCATAATATAGACACCAAAACTCCTAAATCAAGCAAGGATTCTTTTTTATGTTTTTTCTTTTTTTCTTTTCTTTCTTTTTTTTTTTTTTTTTAACTCCACAGCATCTCATATTCTCATACCCTAACTCCAGGTGATGTGAACTATTAATCTCCATGATAAAGATGTGTTTCCGCCTAATTCATATAAAGGTACATGGTACTTAGTTTTCTCTTTCCAGTGACAGCAGTGCCATCTTATCCAATTCTTTTTTGTTAATGTTTATTTATTTACCTTCAGAGCGAGAGAGAGAGAGAGAGAGAGAGAGAGAGAGCATGTGAGTGTGCGCACGTGTGGCAGAGGGGCAGGGAGAGAGAGAATTCCAAGCAGGCTCGGGGCTCGATCTCACGACTGTGAGATCATGGCGTGAGCTGAAACCAAGAGTCAGACGCACATCCGACTGAGCCACCCAGGTGTCCTGTCCTCGTCTAATTCTATCCTACTCACTAGCTGCGAGATCATGACATCATCACCACACACGATGAATAGAGAATCCATTTAAGCAAGTAAAAAATACACTTAGGGAAGATGGCAGAGTAGGAGGATTCTGAGCTCACCTCCTCCCACAGACGCACTGAGGCTGCCGCGATGTAAAATGCAACATACGCAGAAAACGACCTGAAAACTACAAGAACAGCTCTTCCACCGCCAGGAATATAGGGAAAAAGACACACTGAAAAGAGTGGGGGGGAAGAGACAGGTTCGGGAAACAAACACCCGGCACGCGACCCAGTAGTGGAAGGAATACCGCAGGACCGGAGGCCCGGCCTGAGGAAAAAGGGGACCAAGCCCTAGATTGGGCACCCCACCCCGAGGACCTGCTCCGAGAAGACAAGTCCCCCATAATGTCTGGCTTTGAAAACCAGTGGGGTTTAACTCTGAGGAAGTAGGAGGGCTATAGGAAACTGATACTCCTCTCTCAAAGGGTCACCATAAGGAGCCCCTGGGTGGCTCAGTCGGTTAAGTATCCAACTGCGGCTCAGGTCACGATCTCATGGTTCACGAGTTCGAGCCCCGCATCAGGATCTGTGCTGACATCTCAGAGCCTGGAGACTGCTTTGGGTTCTGTGTGTCTCTCGCTCTCTGCCCCACCCCACTCGTGCTCTGTCTCTGTCTCTCTCTCTCAAAAATAAATAAATATTTTTTAAAAATGGTTTTGAAAAGAAGGCTTTCAGTGGAATTTCCCCTATAGGACCCAGGAAGTTGGTTTAATTGAAAGGCACTCTCTATCGGCCTTAATACCACCACTCTCCTGGTCTCACTATGCGCCCCAGGCCCCACCCACTCAACCCACCCATCCTGGCAGACACAAACACAGAGCACCTTCTATCCCACCACATCTGTCAAGCAATCTCAGTTAAGATGGGCATCCCCCTCAAAGTGACACCCACTCCACCACACCCTTCAGTCAGCCCCGGCCAGGACAAGCACACCTCCTAAGGAACTCCTGTCCTGGAAAGCAGGACCAGCCCCGCCCATCAGCAAGCCCGTAGCAGCCACAACCCACAAACAACAGGAGGAAGCAGGGAGTAGTCAAAGGTGGTAAAACTATATCTACAAAAATTAGTTCAGAGATATACAAAATGAGGGGCGTCTGGGTGGCTCTGTCAGGTAAGCTTCCGACTTTGGCTGAGGTCATGACCTCACAGTTCATGAGTTCAAACCCCACATCAGGCTCTGTGCTGACAGCTCAGAGCCTGGAACCTGCTTCGGATTCTGTGACTCCCTCTCTCTCTGCCCCTCTCCTGCTCGTGGCTGTCTCTCTCCTCCCCTCTCTCTCTCTCTCTCTCAAAAATAAATAAGCATTAAAAAAGAGAGAGAGAGATACAAAATGAAAAGATGTAAAATAAGGTGTCATATACATAAAATGTGGATGGGAGGAGTCAAAATATAGTGCTTTTAGAATGTGTTCACAGTTAAGTGACCATCAACTTAATACTGACTCTCGTATAAGTGGATACATGCATATATATTTACAACTGTTATATAGAAACCTCATGGTAACCACAAAACAAAAACCTGTAATAGACATACAAAAACCCAAATGCAACCCTACAGAAAATCATCAAATCACAAGGGAGGACAGCAAGAGAAGAAAGCAATGAAGAACTACAAAAACAACCATAAAACAAGTAACAAATGGCAGTAAGTATATACCTATCAATAGTTACTTTATTTCTTTTTAATTATTTTAATTATTTTATTATTTATTTATTTTATTTATTTATTTATT